AAAAAAAAAAAAAAAAAAAAAAAAAAAAAAAAAAAAAAAAAAAAAAAAAAAAAAAATTGAAACATAAATTTAACAAGAAAATACAGAGCATAAAAATTGCATCCGTAAGCTTAAATAAGCAATATTCCATCCATGCGACAATATCCTCCTATAGATGTTAGAGAAAATAGAATAACCAAACATCTTTGAAATTATTACTAAATACCATAATTTCAAAAGCTTTAACAGTTATTTTGGCTTACCACCGATCATTTCTATCTCATACAGTACGTGGATCACATAATACTTTTTCTAAAAGGGGTTTTCTACGGAGTTCAATCAATAACCCTACGACAAAATGATATAATCAACACGGATAGAAGAGTTTCCCACGTTAAGTTATAATGTAATTCATCATAAACCATGAAGCAGATAAACCTCGTACCAGCCATGACTACGATATTGAGACCAAACACACACCGAGGGATTTCCAGGGAAACCTATCATCTAAAATTCGCTTATAAATGATTCCGTTTAATCAGCTAAAACTCAATTATAAAGAACCTCAACATTTCCTATTGTTCTAACAACTCTTCCAGCGATCGAAAACTACATTGTAAACTCAGCCAATAGACAATCAAATCCAGACTATCCCCAATCTAACATATCCGGCAAAGTCTCCGTACAAGCACACACGTCGCGAACCTTTTCAGGTGAACATCCAGAATACTAATTGAAACTCAGAAAGGAAAAAAGAAAAAAAGAAAAAAAAAAAAAAGAGATAAAATTACCCGACATCGTCACGGTAGAGACGATTAATGAGAACATCGCCTCGGAGATTGAGGAAATAGATGGCCGATGCAGCCACCGGCATGTCTGATCGAGCGGATCGTGACCAAAAGTAAAAAAGGCGGAGAACAGAACGGGGTTGGGCAAAAAATCAGAAAGTAAGAGAGTAAGGAGGAGAGGAAGAACTGGTAGGGCCGAGATCTGAGGAATTGGTAGTATGGATTGGCAGAAAATGAAAATTTTGGCGGAGAAGTGAAAATTGTTAGGGAGGGATTTAATGATCTTTCCTTCTGCAGTTATGAACTGAGAATTGTTGACCCAACCGAAGATGCGATAACAAGAACAAAAAGAAAAGGAAAGGAAAAAACTCACCCCTTTATCAGGGCCAGGTTTCGATCCTGAGACCTGTGGTTGTGGGTCCACCACACTACCGCTTACGCCACTCTAATTTGTTATTACAATAATCAAAAAAATAATTTCTGGTTTTCCAAAGTTTGTTTTTATTTCTTTCCTATTTTTATCAATTTTTTAATTCTCTATAGATGTTTTATATTTATACAATTTTGAATTTTTGTCTTTGTCCATATTATCGATATATTTCATGTAATACACTTCGTATATTTGTTTATATTTTTCATTTAATTAAGCTTTTTCCTAAAATATTACACTTAACAAATCTTTTTAAAAAAAACATAATTTTTTTTATTATTAATAACCTTACAACTTTTTTTATTTTTTTATTTTACCATATTCAAATTACAACTAGTTTAATTCAACGATTACTCAATCGCTCCTTTTTGTAAATATTGAACACAGGAGTAAAATAAGCAAAGAGGCTTCACTATAGCCTTTTTATTTAATACATAATACAAATACAACAACAAAAGCATACAAGAATAATACATATCACATTGGCTACATTTATTTATTTATTATTTTGCAGTTCAGAATACTGAGTTCATAATTCTTAGTAATCTTCTTCCAACTGCGAGATGATGCTGGCAAACACTTTGTACCCATTAGCCATGTCACTGTAATTGCAATACTCATCGTTTGCATGGTAAGTTGCCGTCAAACCTACATACGTAAATCTTACCATTTGAATACTTGACGATATAACAAACAAATGATTATAAATAGAGAACTTTCACAATCATTTTAAGTATGGTGGTTTTAGTGATATCACGTACCATAGCCAATCGTCTGAACATCGTAGCCTTTATCCTACAAGAAGTCATAGTAAAAAGATGAGAAACAAAAGGAGGTGCAGAGGAAAAGAGAATAATATATGGGGAATATGTGTTGGTACCTGAAGATCCTTAACAAGTGGGAGACTCCCTGTAATGGAGTAAGGATTGACTTGTCCTATAACTTCCTTGGTTGCATTATATAAAACTTTATACCCACGAGAATCAAGATCGCATGCAATCCCTGATATCAACTCACCATAACTCACTTCAAGCCTACAAACAACAAATTATGAGCTGAATTGGATCAATTCGATTGAAAAAATCTTCTAGTCCAAAAGAGAAACAGAAAAACACCCACTTTCCCCTGAGTCCTTCATCCGGCAGAGTATACTTTGAAACTGGACCTCTAGATTCAAGATCCTCCACGTTTTCATTGATGTAATTAACATAAGCAGAGATCTTCGCCACCACATCGTTCACACTGGAGGAATCATTAACACAGAACACTAAATCTGTAAGAAGAAGAAGAAGAAGAAGAAGAAGAAGAAGAAGAAAGGAAGCATGGTTACTTACTCGTAGAATGGAGTTAACCTGACATCTCCTGCCAGACTACATTCTCCTGGAATTTGATTAAGCCCACCTCCTGGATCTAAAATCAACAACATAAATCATACAACTCCAATGGGTATCTAAAATCAAGCGATGATGATTTACAACTTACAGCTCCATTGGGTCGGTTTCATGGTGGATGGCGTTTCAAATTTATACTCCTGTTCCTTAGGATGAGGAGGAAAATCCTTATAAAAGTTCAACTGAATGGGTTTCAGAGCGTCCATCGCCAGCTCCAAAGCATTAATAGCCTGGACCATAATCAAAGCTTACCTAAATCCAAATCAAAATCAAAATCCAACCCTGATTTGGATCATATCAACTAATTTACCTTATTTGGCAAACCACTATGGAAGAGGTGTCCATATGTTTTAATGAACCAAGGAATGGTACCACCAGTGCCAATACAAGGTTGTGAATCCGCAGTATCAACCCAATATCTACATAGGAAGGAACCCAAATATAATGAGCCACACATACATAAAAAAAAAAAAAAAAAAAAAAAAAAAAAAAAAAAAAAAAAAAAAAAAAAAAAAAAAAAAAAAAAA